GGACGTACCTCTCGACGCACCTGGCGAGCCTGACGAGCGCGGCGCCCGTGCAGGCCGTCACGCTGGCCCTCTTCTACTTCAACGGCACCTACTACGAGCTCGCGAAGCGGGTGCTCGCGCTGCGCTACGTCTTCACCCGCGCCGTCCCGGACTCGCCCGACCGCGCCGGCTACGAGGTCCTCGGCGTGCTGCTCGTCGTCCAGCTCGCCGTCCAGGGCTACCTGCACGTCCGCGACACGCTTGCCGAGACGCTCGCGCCTCCCGCGCGGGAGCGCGCCGCCTTTCACGCTGCCCCCGGCCTCGACGTCAGCCTCGACCACGAGCACGCCTACGGCGCTGCCAACAGCGACTTGCTGCTGTCCGAGCTCGGCACCCGCGGACCCCAGGCCAGCCGCGTCGACCTGGCCGCCACGACGCACACGCCCCCGCGGCCCGCCGGCGCCGCGGCCCGCTTCGACCTCGAGGACGCCCAGGTCATGGGCTTCATCAAGGGCGCGCAGCAGCGCAAGTGCACCCTCTGTCTCGAGGAACTCAAGGACCCGTCCGCCACCCCGTGTGGGCACGTCTTTTGCTGGGAGTGCATTGGCGACTGGGTACGCGAGAAACCCGAATGTCCTCTGTGCAGGCGGGACGCGCTCGTGCAACACATTCTCCCGTTGCGGGTATTCTAACATGACAGGATTGAAAGAGAGAGGGAAGGTGACGGGCGGGTGTACAAAGACGGCAACAAAGAAACATATCTCCGCGCCGCACAGGGCATCCAGAAAGCACGCATATGATACCAACGAACCACAAACGAGAAGCAATTGTGTAATAGTACAAGAGCAGAACATAGATGTATATTATCCAAAATAAGAGACGCGATACTAGAAAGCTCCCAAGGAAATATGAAACCTAATGAAAATCAAAAGGAGAAAAACACTGGAAAATGGCTTCGTTTCGTCTCCAACCATGGTAGTCATCTCAACGAAGGGCGTCTTCGCTTTCTGTTGAAATATAAAAATATGAAACACGAATAGTGAAAATGAAGAATGAAAAAAAGAAGAGACAAGAAGTTCGTTCCTCCCATGGTATCATCATTAAAATCCCGTCATTAAGACCTCTTGCACGACAAATGTATTCTTTCTTCGTTGCTTGCATGCCGCAAGCCGTTTCCCTCTTCCCAAAACCTAACCGAAATGATTTCGATTTCCTATCCTTGGTGTAAAAATGATTGTGTTTTCGTTTTTCTAGGCTTGGGCATGGTACCCATGTGCCTGCTTTTTGTTTATCCCCGTCACAGAGGAGAGCTGTGCTTGTTGTACATGAGGTCCAGCGAATCACTCCCCGTACTCGGCAATGACCTATTGGGGGCTGGAACCGTCAAGAGTACCTGCATCCATCTCTTGCAAAAGCAAGTGAGGAGCAGTATCATCTCCGTCTATTGGACTGAAGAAAAGAAGACAAAAGTGGAATACAGTAAATGTTGATAGGTATGATGCAAAAATGTCATGAACATGATGATGTAGCCCGGATAAAATGACGGGCTCAAATGCCAAAACACGCCAAAAAAAGAAACTCAAAATGATGCCTCGCGGCACGGCCACCGAAGCGCCACGTTTATGAAACAACAGCCATCCTGCCAGCAGAATCAGCATTACTCATCATCTTCGAGAGCAAAGACGACGATCTCGCCGCGATCGTTCTTGCGAAGACGCAGGGATCGCCAGAGTTCCTTCTCGTCCTTGACTTTAGAGTCTGTGGCGCCCAATGACTTGCGCTCGCGGTGGTATCGCTTCAGGGCCTTGTTCATGCTGCAGCCGCGATCACTCTCAGGGCCTTTGTTGACAAAGCCTAGGAATATATCAGCGCGGGGCTTGAAGATAATCATCTGCCCCTCCATCTCTGACTTGGCAGCGTCCTTATTGAACTCGAGCCTCTTGGGGCTCTTGGGGCTCTTGGAGCGGCGGTGGTGGTGGTGTTTCTTGTCCTTTGACTTTTTGGACTTTTTGGAGCCGCCAGTGATCATGTCCAAGATACTGTTGCCATGGCCGCTCTTGGTGTGCTTGGTGTGCTTGCTCTTCTTCAAGGGGCTGGCAGGAGTAGCTTCGGCAGCGTCACCAGAGTAGTCAGGAGAAGGAGGAAAACGCATCAAGCTCTTGAGATTGCCAGTGAGTCCGGAGTGAAGCACAGGAGGGGCGTCAGTCATCTCTTCATCACCGGCAACGTCAATGTGCAGTCGCTTGCGCTTTTTATCCTTCTTGTCACCATCCTTGCTGCGACGGCGCTCCGTCTTGGGGCCGGGTGTGACGTAGGCGGCGGTAGGAACAGGCCCGGTGCTGTACTGGACGAAGGGTTCATCATCGTCAAGGTACCCATCAGTGTCGTGTCGGAATCGAACAAGCGTGGTGCTCTCGCTTTCGGCCGGGATGTCTTTGGCAAGGTCAACGTGAGAGGCATTCGGGGTCTGGCCAGTGGAAACGAGGTAATCGAAGACGTTGAACGGCTGCTCTCGGTGGGCAGGAGGAGGGGTTGGTGCTTCGGGGAGAGGGTCGACGGGAGACCGTTCGTCTTCAGTCTGGCCCTCGTAGTCGGCCCAAGGGGCGTAGCTGGTGTCGTCGGGGACGTCTTGAACGTATGGTTGATGGGCCATCATCTTGGTCTTTTTGGCGGGCTGGGGGTTGCTATCGTGCTTGGATGCGGCGTGGGCTTGCGCGTGGGTATTGTTGTTCTTTTGGGGCTTTTCTTTGTATAAAGCACCCTGATATTTCTGGGCTTCGGTCATGCAAGACTGCATGCAGGTTTTAGTATCATGCGACGGCGAGGCAGATAGGTGGTTCCAAGATGAGCCGCGACAGGGAGAAGCTTACAGTATGGGCGCGGTACTGGGTGCCGGGGAAATGGACCATGCAATCAATACAGGTAAAGGTGGCGCCGCGGCAACGGTTGCGATGAGGGTCGAGTTTCTTCTTGGTGAGAACGTCGCCGCACTCCTGTAGTTGAAATTGTGAGTATGGATGTTGTTGAGTTGAAGCAAAGGGAAGATGGAGACGAGGGGGGCAAGGAGCTAAATCGCGGGGGAAATGACTTGGGTTTTGATGGTTTGGAGGGATCAAGGGCAAACGCGACTATTAAAGATATTGAGAGCCGGCAAGGTGGGCCAAGACAGGGGATCAGCGGGCAAGAAAGGGAGGTTCTTAAATGGTGGTGGTGCTGAATGTGTGGGATGGTGTATGGTGTGCCGGAAGTGATGTCAGGTCCGGGCCAGGATAGATGGAAGGTGGTGTGGGCTAGAAGGGACGCATGGTAACAAGGCGCGGCGGAAAAGAGGAAAAAAACGGACGACGAATGCCTTACCTCGCACGAAAAGGATACCATGATAGGCAGCGAGTAGAGGGACGGGTATGATTGGCGGGAGGCGAGAATTGAGGGTTGGGTCGCGATGTGAGTGGCTGTGGGGGTTTTGACGGAGGAGTCTCAGAAGTGCTTGGGGCGCAATGCAGATGGGGCTTGTTGTCTGGAGTGCGTGTTGGATGGAGCGAGCGAGCGAGCGTCTGGGGGTGCCAAAAGGATTCGACACGGGCGTGAAAGGTTGATCGAGCCTCGTCGTGTTTGGGGGCTTTTTTGTCTCCTTGATGGAGGGTGAGACGAGAGAGGGCCGTGGTTCTGGTGGTGGTGGTGGTGGTGGAGGGCGTAGGCGTCGGCAAGAAAGAGATGAGAGAGGCGTTTGGATGAAAGGGAGGGGCAGCAAATGGCCGTAGCAGACTTGTAATTAGTGTGCGGGCAGAGGAATGCGACTCGGAGGGGGAGTCAGCAAACAGCGTCGAGGTGCGGAATTGGAATGATGGGAGAATGGAGGGGCGGCCAAAGGCGAGGTTGCAACGGCAGGGTCAGGTGGGCGACGGGTATTTTCTTTGGTGTTGCTGTTGCTGATAGGCAGTGGTCGTTGTCGTTGAGCCGGTACCTGAGCTGGTGCTGGCTGTTCAGGCGTTTCAAGAGGTACCTTGAAAGGTCAATGGCAAAGAAATGCTGGCGCGACAGGGGGGTGAATCCAGGGGACGCGAGCTAAAGTGGTGAGGTGATACCCGTGTTATCTTTAGAGAACGGGATCGTGTGTTAGTACGAATCTCCGTAGGCGCTGGCGTTATGGGAGGAAGAAATTGGATGCTTTGTTGATGTTTTCTTGTGAAGAAGAAAGGAAAGGATGGGGGTGGGAAACGGGAGCTGGACGAGAGAAATCCGAGAGCCTATGCTGATTTTTTTTTCTCGCTTTTTTTTTCACCGTTTGCCGCCCACAACAACCATCTGGGGTACTGCCAGCTGGCAAGGCCTGGATGGATCTGTGATGCAGCCCGCCAGCAGGCGAAAGCAAGGCAACCGAAGCAGATGCAGGCCAGAAAAAAAAGGCAGACAAAAAGCCCCTCCTCTCTGTCCCTCATTGGCAATCGCTTTGTTGCGGCGCAACAGAGCTGATTTACTCACTGGAAAAAACCCAATGAGGACCTGACAGGTGGTCCAGCGACGCCCAACAGCGGGGTTTTCTGCCGTCTTAGCGTGTCGTTGGGGGAGCACAGCGCTGGAGCCAGTGGCCGCAGTTGCCTCCACAGCGAATTACGAAGCCTGCAGTTTGTCTGATATATTCACTTCATTTTCAAAAAAAAAATTCTCTCACGACCGAAGCCTTGAAACTATCCGGAGAACCCTTGAACTCCTTGTAACTAATACCACTCGTAATTTGTCAAGCAACTTGATTCGCGGCCTGAAGCGCTACCAAAGCGTCATCCCCCACTACGCACGCTGTGGGCACGCCCCTCCAATTCGTTGCCGGGGTGTCTTCTTCGGCGCACGACGCGATGATTGGCCAGCCTCTCCTCCATCACCCAAGAACCGTAAGGCCCCCAGGTCACATGAGCTGCATCATCTTGCACTGCAGGGGTGCCCTTAATCTCTCGGCCCCTCCAACATCTCGTGCCTGAAAATAGCCTGTTTGCTCATCTTGATGATGCTAATTCATTGTCTGCCATATCAATACAACGTAATACACGGCAATGTTATACACGCCATATTCATCTTGTACCACGCGCCAACCGTCAGTTCTGATTCCTCACCTTTCCCCTCTTGGCTTGCTACCATGTGTTTCCTGCCATTTTCGCGCCCATCACATGGCGGTCCGCATAACTGGCTACCTACGGAGTACTGAGTGCTGATATCCAGCCGCCCAACCAAATCTGCCTACGCGCCCATCATGACCACAGCCCACCACCTGTCCAGGCTTCTATGTATTACGTTCATATACATGCTATTCGTCGTTGTACCTGTCGCCACGGCGGTAGCAATGCCCGGATAGAGGTGGCGCGTCCGACAAACAAGCCGTGTACCTTGTATACTCCCCCTCAGCATAGTTATTTCGCCTTGGGTGCCTACAAAGGTAGGCAGTTAATAATAGTACCCTGATGCTACTGGTATCAATTACGCGCCCTCATATGTATCACTCAGCTTATTCGCCGCCAAGACGTTCTCGGCTACACCTCGACAATTGGAGTAATCTTGTCGCTGCTCCTCATCCCTCAGCTGTGCATCGCCCCTCGAATCACCTACCTGCCCCAGCAGCCCAATGCCACCCGTCGCGCTGACTGCTTGTCGTCCTGTGCGTTGCGTTCTTTTGTGTGCCTGGCTTGAACGATCGGCAGAGTAAAGGCTCATGTTAGACTCGGCTTTGGCGAAATGGGGTCGTCAAAGGAAGAAAAAGCAAAAAAGGGAAAAAACAATGCCGCCGCATATGTGCCACAGTGTGCCAGGCCGCTCGACCTACGCCACCAGGCGCAAACTGACGGACGGGCTAATACTGCCCATAACTCAACTCGGTGTGTGACAGAGCGTGTGCCTGTGCTTGTAACTACCTACCTACCTACGTACATAGTTACAGACATCGCGCGGAAACATGTATGTACCCTTCTGCCCCATCGTGTATTACGTGCAGTGTCTCTAATACTGCGCCGCCGGATATCTCGACGGCACAGGCATGTCGTAGCGAAATGTGTCGCCAAGTCTCGGTCTGATTCTTTCTTTTCCCTTTTTTTTTTCGTCAAGTTACTTCATATCATCAACCTGCTACCTCTCACACCCTGCGACTACGAGTCTTCCTTCAGTCTGTTCTGTTGCTATTCTCGGCACCAAAATGCCAATAAGCCCACTGTTTCAGGATCGCGACACACCAACGCTATTCCCAGTAACGATGCCATATTTGGCTTCAGGGTGAGACCGTGCCATCCTGCCGCGGAATGCTCCCCAGTTTCCTATTCTATCGGTGCATCCTGCTGCTTGCATTGTCTGCCATATCCAATTCAGGACAGCTTACCGATGTGGCGCATCAATACCAACCTTTGCCTCGGCGGAGTGATGGTGTGCGGATGCGCTGGCAGCCCGCCAGTACCAGCTCGCCGGGATGTGCGAGCAAAGCAAAGCACTGATAACTAACGAGTTAGTTAATACTATCCATTCTTTCTGGAACACCCGTCACGACGCAGGTCCCAGGAGAAAGGGGCGCCAGCCAGGCCCAGCCAGAAGGAATCGCGACATTGCATCCTCTCGGGCATGAGCGAGGTCGTTGCCCCTCGGCCCCCGCTACATACCATATTCGCATGTAAGTAATCAGTAACACTACTTTGCGGAGACTGGCGCACATGTCGCCATCGCCCCCGAGCGTCCACGGGCGTTCATGCAAGTAGTATTGTTGGCGCAAGGTAGCGAGACAGTCAGTATTCAAACTACGGGGTTTGAGTATGTTGCCTCTTCTTGCGACGGGATCTTCGTTGGTTGTTAATGTAGCAGCGTCGTATCCATGTCTTTCAATCTCACGCTAGGTGTTAACCAGCTTCCGGGTTGAGAAGTGGCCTTGAGACATTGACTCTGACTCTCCATTAAAGAGCACAGTTTGGCCTTGGCCCAGGCTTGCGAGAAATTATTTGGCACGTCGTGAATAAAATGCGTGGCTAGATGCATACCAGAATGCTTCACGTATCAAGCCGCCAGGCGGCAAGCCTCAATCAGGGATGTAACTCATGATAGACCTTCCTTTCTGGTCGTGGTCTGTCTGTCCACGTCTCAAGCATGACGACGATCGATTTTCTTCTTTGAAACGTTCTGATATACGGCTATAATCTTCTTGCTATGACGTGCGCGGCCAGCAAATGCCGGGCAGTCAGCACAAGTGGCGAGTTGACGTTGCGATTCATGGGCCACTTGGACCTTTCAACCCGTGTTTGTGTGCCGTTTCAGCCATCATTGAGTGTCCCAGACGGCCAAGTTTATTTGAGCTATAGGGATCGTCAGTTATGATTACTCCGTACAAGTCTCTCGTACGAGTATCATTCGCTACCGTCGCCCCCGCATGTGCTGTGGCCTTGCTCATCACGGTTCCGAAATTGCACCTCCAAATCGCTCCTGCCAGTGGGAGCTTGAAGCCCCAGCTAGCGATATCCCCTAGCCAATCAGAGCGCTCACTCGCGTGGCCCACGCACTCCCCAGGCAGAGGCTTCAAGCTCCTCTCAAGCCCAACGTCATTTCAACATTTTGCTGCCTGCAGGCTGGCCGCCATCTGTTCCATCTCTGCAGTGCCTGGCGTAACTAGCGACGACTTCATCTAAATATTTCCAACATGATATTTTAGACTCGTCTCCGCCCACGCACGCCTTTTCCACCCTCCCGGTTGCTTGCCGATTGCCGCTGTCTTTCTGTCACCGCCCGAGATCAGATATATTGGCACCAAAAGAAATATTCAACCCCTTGCTGCCACCGACTGTGTGTCATTTTCCGCCGAGATCGGCTGTGCCTGCAAGATTTTCGAATCATCAGCTGCTCGACCAGCTCGATCGGAAGAGCCAGACCGATGCCATCCAAAGAAAATATGTCCAATTCCAACTCTTCACCGTCAACACTGGCGGGCTACCTGGAGCAGACTGCTTCGGTGCTGAGTTCTGTCGCCTCATATATGAAGCTCCCGGCGCTTGCTTCTACAGTATGTTACTCTGGGCGATGCGTTATGCATACTGCCGTCCTAGGATCATGATTGAGACTGACGGTGCACAGGGCATCGCTGCGATCCTGACATCACTTTTATACTTTAAGCAAAAGTAGGTCCGGCCAGTACACGTGATTCACGTCGCTCAAGTCACGGAGCGCTCAATATCACGGACCTAATCGTTGTATCATTGCTAATGCTACCACAGGGCCTTAATCTACCCGTCACATATGCCTGCCAATTCTCGAACCGATGTACCTCGCCCTTCACAGTTTGGTATCCACGACTTCGAAGAACTAGTCATTCCTACAGATGATGGCGAAAAGCTCTCTGCATTTTATATCCGCGCTCCGCGCAGTCACAAAAATGCTCAAAGCACAATGATCATGTTGCACGGCAATGCCGGCAATATTGGCCATCGACTACCTATTGCACGCATGATCATTAATAGCACTGGTTGCAACGTATTCATGCTAGAATACAGAGGCTATGGCACATCGACTGGCGAGGCAGACGAAGCTGGCCTGAATATTGACGCACAGACTGGTCTCAACTACCTCCGCGACCGAGCAGAGACTCGAGACCACCTTTTTTTCATTTTTGGACAAAGCCTTGGAGGAGCCGTTGGCATCAAGCTCGCTGCCAAGAATCAGAGTCGCGGCGATGTTGCCGGCCTCATTCTTGAAAATACATTCTTGTCCATGCGCAAACTTATTCCATCCGTCATTCCGCCTGCCAAGTACTTGGCTCTTCTCTGCCATCAAGTCTGGGCCAGCGAATCTGTGCTTCCCTCCATAGACAAGGTGCCCACCTTGTTCATCAGTGGCTTGCAAGACGAAATCGTCCCGTAAGTGCCTTTTCCATGCTCCTTTCCAACCACTACATCATGATGACTATAATCACCCACAAAATATGAACCCGTGCGGCTCTGATTTTACTTTTTGATTTTTCTGAACATTCTGACCTTACACCTCCTTCGTGCTTGATTTGATTTTACTGTGCATCTGCTAATACAAGTATTGGAAGGCCGAGCCATATGAAACGACTGTATGAACTTTCTACCGCCCCGAGCAAGATCTGGAAGCCACTACCTGGCGGTGACCACAACTCAAGTGTCCTAGAAGAGGGGTATTTTGAGGCGATCAAAGAGTTTGTAAATGAGGTCAGAAGCGAGCATAAATTCGAGAAGCAACGGCTGTGAAGCATGGTTGTCATCTGATTGAAGCAAATGAAGTCGGCGACAACGAGAAGGGCGCCGATGAGAGAGCTAGACCTGCACAGTCTGGCCGGGACATGGACTTGATACCCCCTGTTGCATAGATACAGATACCGTGAGCCGTCTAAGGGGGACCACGCGATCAAGCACAGCCTGAACCTTGACAGCCCCCCGACAATGGGAAGCGGGCAAGGATGCGACACACAAAATAGAACGAAAGCACATTATTACTAGCACAAACTGCTTCTCCTGACCCCCCCCCCGAGGTGAACACACCAAATCCCTGGGCACTCCACTAGCTCTCATGTAGAAGCGGATGTGGCATCGCCCTCCGGGATTCGTGCAGCCCGTAATGCAGGTTGCGATGGGAATGATATGCAGGGAGTTCCAACCCGCGCTACCGTAAGGCGCCCAAGTCCTGCCCCTCCATACCATGCCAAGCACTCTTGCCTATCGTAAGGGCTTGCAGCCATGACGATGTCGAGTGGAACACGCGCGCAGCACGATTACATCATGGCCAGAAACAAGGCCAGCCGGCATCGACTCACGGCCAAGACATGCATACACAGCCAAAGGCCCTCGACGGGAAGGACTCGCCGTCGCCTTGCCGAAAAGAATGGTGTGGGATATACATAATTGTCGTCAAGAGGTTTCTGCCGTCCATGTGACTACAATACGAAAGAAAGATGATTTTTTTTTAAAAGAAACTCGGCTTTTTGTCATCAAATAGCGCCGGGTCGTTTGGGGCAAGCTATTGGAGAAGGAGGGGTCAGGTGATGGATGGCATGCTCAGCGGGTTCGGGGGGTAGCATCCGGCTTACAGAGAAAAGATGCCAGCCATTGATGTCAGGAATGCAACAACCTGGGAGGGGAAGGGGCGGGGGCTGAGTCGTAATTGTCGGGAGGATATATCTCGTGATCTGGTGGGAAGAAAGAGGCAGATGGGGAAAAAAAAATCTCGCCATGGCTGCCCGTGCCTTTTTGATCTCATGATGAGGTTGGTGGCTTGCGGCCGCCCTAGGTTATTTTTTCTGTCTTTTTCTGGCGCCGAGGGATCGCCATGTCGGTAGTTTCGGGAGGGGGGGGGGTTATGTGTAGGTAGCAGAGAGAGAGGGTGGGATTATCAAAAAAAATTGTTTGCGACCATCGCTGCTTGGAAGGGTCAAACGACAACGTCTGGCTGGGTTGTACTTGGGAATGAAGAAGGAACTAGCTATGTGTAGAATGATGATGTATAAATGTATAAAACCAACTCTAGCATGTAATCGCAATGCCTACTACTCTACGACATTTCGTCGAAAAATTAACAATGCCCGTCATGTAGAAGAAAACCATGTAATGAACAAAATAAAGCTAGAGGCACCCAGCTAGCACTCCACGTCGCCGTCGAGCTGCGATGCCCACGGCCGCTCAGGACCCTGATCGACTCTCTTCTTGCGCAGGCCCAGCAGACGCCGTCCCGAGCCCTTGGCCGCCGCCACGTCCGGCGCCGTCGTGGCCGTTTCCTTCTTGGCCGCCGCGCGCCCCGCGACGGCGCTCCAGCCGCCGACGCCGTCCTGGCGCCCAAGATCCTCGCGGCGGGTGATGCAATCGGCCGCGTCGACGTGGCACAGGAAGACGTGGCCGGCCATGTCGTGTTTGCGGACGCGGTCGGCGACGCTCTTCTTGAGCGCGCGCAGGGCCGTCTCGATGCCGGCGGCCGACAGAAACGACGAGTACCGCACCGTGGCACGCAGGAGCACCTCGTCGCACGGCCTATACTCAATCTGAAAGTGCAAAGAGGGCTGCTCGGCGAGGTCGGCCGCCAACGCGACGCCCACCTCGTCCGTCGTCAGGCCGAAGCGCGGCGACGCGAGGAGAAAGGCGTTGAGGGGCTCCGTCTCGCTGAGCGCCAGCGGCGGCTTCACAGCAGCGGCGGCGGCAGCTTCCTGCGTGGTGCGGATCTTGACGCACTGCGCAATGGTCTTGCTGGGCGCAGACACAAACCGGGGGCCTTTATGCACCAGCACGTAGCGAAATGGCTCGCTGTCCTCACTGCGGCTTTCCAGACCGTAGTCTTCGGCCAGGACATGCAGGAACCGTCGCTGGTTGCTGGGCATGGGTTTGTAGCGGATTCTGATTTCACTCGGGCTTTGCGAGAAGACGCGGAATTCACGCTCCTGCGTCTCGCACCATGTCGGCGTCTCCTTGAACAGGGCGAGGGTCTCGTCAGAGTATGGTACATGGTCGTTGGTGTGCGTCGCTGGGTCGATGTTGAGCGCCGCAGCAAGGCGTCTATTGCGCTCCTGTCGCAAGCACTCATCGTCACATTTGAGCTCAGGTCGCGCGGGTTCAGGATTGGTGCTGCTGGCAAGGCATCGGACCTCCTGCTTGCGGATGCCGCAAGGGCATGCAATTTCTGTCTTACCAGAACATGCTGCCGTTTCATTGCATGGGTTCTGGCCATGGCAACCATTCTGGCAACGGTGCTCACAGAACATCTTTATCTTGCCGCATACTTGACCGCATCGGCCGTCTTCCAGCGCAATATCCTCGCAGTCTCCCGTTCGATGGCACAGCTTTTTACAAAAGTGTAGACCGCACTTCAACTTCTTTCCGCAAGGCTTGCCGCATCTTGCTTCTTGGAGGTGGCAAGGCTGGCTATGTAGCTTTTCCTTTCCGCAAGAGCACCATTTTTCAACAAGAAAGGGGCACTTGGGGCATCCGGCTTCTTCAGGGTGGCAATGGTGCTCAACTGGCGGATGTCCACACTCTGGGCGACGTAAGCAATTATAGCGACACTCCGGTGCAACTGTGCCGCAGGGCTGTGGCGGTTGTAAGATTGTGCGGCCGCAATCGCAGCTAATTTCTGTGAAGATGGCTTCAGGGCAGCTCGCACAAGCACCTCGATGGCATATTTGCTGACAATTGTGGCTACCGCACTTGAGAGCGCGGCCACAAGTCCTGATGCATATATGTTCAGCTTCCACAGCTGTTGCTGGAGCCGCATTTCTGTTGCGTCGTCGCGCTGCCTGTCGTTCAGTGCCCTTCTTCTCCCCTGTACAGCAGATTTCCAAACACTTGTGACGGCCACAGCTCATGTTGGCGCCGCATGTTCTAGCACATGTCGGTCGATTTTCGTCGCGCTCATGGCAGATTCTCGACTCGCTGGTTCTGCCGCAACGGCAGCTGATATCAACCTCCACTACGCAACTGCTACAGTCGCCGGCGTGACATGTTGACTTGCAGAGATGACCGCAAGAAAGCTTCTTTTCACACGGCTTATCACAGTGCGGAATAACATCCTCGCAGCTGTTTCTCGGGTATCCAGGAAGCTCTTTTAGAGAAGCCTTTCCGCAAGGACAACGAGTGACAACATCTGGGGCAAAGGGACAGTGAGCTGGGCTTTCATCCTGGGCATGGCAGACCTGGGAACATTCGTGCTGTCCGCAGTCGTACTTTCGTTGACAGGTGGCTTGACAATTAAAGCTGCCTTCAAACCATTCCTCCTTCGAAACTGAATATGAGTCTTGGGGATCATCTCGTTCGAAACAAGGAATTTGCTTTGCAACGCGGCCGCAGAAGCACGTGGCATCTACTTGCACTGGACATTCGCCACAAAGCCCACTATGACAAGGCTTTTCGCAAGTATGCTCACCACAAGGCAGCAAATCGCCACAAATGTCTTGGCAGCTCCAGCCATTTTCGTAGTCTGTTTCTCTGCAAAGTTTTCTCGACGAGTTCTTGCCGCAGAAGCACGATTGCTCTGGGCCCACAAGGCTGCAGGGCGGACACGGACCAGAATGACATTGAAGCGGACAAGGATGAGGGCATGTTGGCCGCGGTTTCGAGCATGTTTGGCCACAGGAATGGGGCGGTAGCGACTGGCTGGCGGGCTTTGGGCTGATTTCCTTGCCGCACCAACAATGATAGGTGCCTGGATCATCCGACAGCTTGGAGTTGCAAGCCGGGCAGCGCCAAGAGTTCTCGTTTTGCGGTTGCGCAGATCGAGGCTCCTCCTTCTTCATCTGGTTGCTATGCCATTTCTTGGCGCACTTCATATGGACAACCGTCCAGCAGAGGCTGCAGGACCAGATATGGGAGGTACGGAGGACCTCGTCTGTGCAAACTGCGCATTCATAGTTGGAATTGCTTATGTCTTCGTGAATGCGCGTAGCCAAGTCGGTTGCCGTGGACTTTGGCAACTTTGGCCGAGTCTGTTTCGGGCGTGATGGGGAAAGTTTTGCCACCTTGCTACGGTGGCGTCAGCAACACTCTTGTAGAAGATGCAATCGATGCACGATGAGCTTACCTTTGGTACACCACTGGCTGTCCAGGCACAAACTCGGCGGCCTCTGCGCTGAGACCAATCGGCGCAGAGGGGCCCGTGTTGGCAGGTTCATTACCATCATCCGTGGCCGACGTGAGATGGCCCCCAAATGCGCGGCGACCAGTAGGACGTGGCGCGTTTGAAGCCGGCCCCGAGACACCTGTCTGGCGTTTAGAAGGCCTGTTTCGATTTCCGCGTGATCGTTGATTCGACGCGCGAGCGGGGTTTTGTTGCGTAGGAGCAGCTGATGAATCGCCGTTGCCGTTCAAGGCCGGAGCATCACTGCTCCCCTCCGCAGTGCCATTTTTTGGTCTTGGGCCTCTGCCATTTTGACCTCTGCGACGGCCATGTTGATTTTTCCCCCTAGATGACTCTTGTGATGGAGTATGTGGTGGGTTGCCCTGGTCGTCGAGCATAGCTTGGAGGAGCGCAATGGGACACTGCCTCACCGGTGGCGATGAGGGCAGGTTTGGTGGTGCAGGCGTTTGCTGGAAAATCTCTGCTGCAGCCAAGGGGGCCTGGCGTGAGTCGAATGCTGTGAGCGGTGCTAGTGTGTTGATTGAGCGCCTCGAGACAGCGATGATGAGATGAACTGTAGAATGCGAGATGCGATGAACAGTTCAGTCGGCTTGGCGGCGAGTATTTAATGATTTGAAGGTTGCCTCGTTTGCTCGTGGGCCTTGTCCTAACTGGGATTGGTACAGACGCCACCTCCAAACGCTTACCAAAGGCTCCTCAATGAGTCACTGTACAAAAGGACTCATTACTGCATCAGTTTGGCAGCCCAATTGGCCAATCCTTTGAAGGAATTTCCATTTATTGAGCCTTGTGGGTCATGCCTTGGAGTCATGTTCCATTCTTTTACAATAATTGCCTTGTTGCATGAGCCTAGGGCTGGCCTAGCTAGTTCCTGTCGCGTGTTGCGTGGTAGAGCGCTACGTCGCAATTTTGTTACCAAACCGTACCGACCACAAATGACAAATAAAAAAATATATAACTAAATTACTGTTTGGTTTCCTTATTCTACTTTGCTTTCATTCTCGCTCAAACTGCTGCTAGCTGTGATTAATCTGTATTGTGCTTGCTTCTGACGGCGTCTCGTGATGTACTCGCTCTATCCAACACGAGTCGGCCGCCCCATCCATCTACAAGCGACCGCGACGTGATCTGGGCTCCATAGATATTCAACTCCATCCCCTTCCGCCGCCACAACGGTGGTATACGGACATGCCTCACAGCCGCCGTTCAGTTCCGGCTACTGAATAATTAGGACCGCGCGTAGATGTCTACAGGGTATGTAGCTGTCGGAGATGTTGAATCTCCGACAGCCAGGATATCGATAGAGTTTCTGTAAAGGCAGCCGCATGTGCATGGTTCTTCGATATATTATGGCTGTAATTCTCAACGTGACTTTGTAGCCGAGCGTACACTGCTTTCCCAGACAACCGTTTTACCGTACGCACGATACGAGTCTCAACACTAACCGCCATAATAGAGTTGTGAGCATGCACAAGGGCGTATATGTGTATGTACGAATACTGAAGAGCGGACAAGTTTATTTTTGCCCCTGGTTTCATGTCGCATTGTTATACGCGTTGTTAATTTTACGCCGAATCTGCAAGATCTCGTTGACCGAAGTAAAACGCCGGCATTTGGTTTCGTCTCTGTCGGCGCGCCGATTGACGAACCACACTGGCGCGGACGAGAACTGTCTGATGTAATACTTGAAAACAAGATTCTCTTCTGTGTAGCCAGTCTCGGCCGGTCCGCGATTTACAATCGCCCATTAAAATTGCAGTTAGTGATGTCATTCACTTTAATAATAAAGACATGGCGAGAGAGGTCAACGCAGGACCCAATGCGCAGGAGCGAGAGCCACGCCCTATGCTAAAATGAAGAGATGGACGTCATGTCGGACTGTAAAAATGACACCACGGCTCTGAACTTGGAAGTTAGCCACCCGGAGTTTCTTTTGCTACCTGCGAGCTCCAACTACCCATTGCATAGCTTTCCATGCTGGTTATGGTACACATGTTCGGGAGTCTCTGGTACCTGGGCAGCAAAAAAGTAACACACGGCCCACGTTGAAACACGTATCTGCAGGATTCTGGGAGCACCCAAGTGCTCAAGCACATGAGATATCGAAGGATCTCTTTCATCTGAAGGTTGTGCTGAAAGACATTGATCCAGTATTATACGAGACATGCAGCTGCGCACTTGTTCTGGACTTGACCCAGTCTTTCACACAGCATTGTGCGGTAGAGGCCTGTTCTCCCGTCGTCCTGACCGACACTATCCATGAGTATTACCAATGATAAGGACCTCGCACTTGCTTGAAAAACAGGTGAGAGGAGCTCGTATTGGCACATTGCAGTGATAAACTAGAGCGCACCTCTGACGTGGCTTACCTGCGCTGACACCCGCCACTACATGTGGCAGCAGTAACACGACCGACAAGTGTCCCAATCAAGCCCGCTAGAATATGAGTGTAGCATGCCCCGAGCCCATTGCTCCTGTGTCACTGCAGGGGAGGTGGCAACCGCCTCTCCGTGTACCGGAATTCAAGGAAAAACGGCGATTTCAATGGCTGCTCCGTCACCGTTGTCAACTGAACTGGCAGGACGATCCGGCTTATATATATCCTCAGGTAGCCCCGACTCGTGCCGTCGAGTAACAGTCCTACTATTTCTTGAGATTTTCCATTACTTACATATTTACTGTGACTCTCTTTCGGGCATAGATCACCACAGCTGCGTCTCATATTCCAGACTGAGTCCACAACCGGGGATCAAAGCGTATTCTCAGTTGCATGGGAGCATTACATGGTACCCACACCCAGAATATCTGCGACAACCATAGCGTCAGCGGTGTATCCAGGTCAATTTTTTAAGGACGAGAGTCCCATCTTGGAGGGCAGCTCTTCCCAACATAGCGGCTGCAGCAATCACTTTGGCAAAGATGGCCACCGGACAGCCTGTCACCCTCCAAGAGGTAGGTAGTTGGAAGTACCAAGGCTGCTACGAAGACAATGTCAACCAGACCAGGACTTTCTTCTGGCAAAACTTCTTCCCGGACGTCATGACTCCCAAGATGTGCCTGGACAGGTGCGCTGGTTTTGGGTACATGGCGGCAGGGCTTGAGTATGGCCAGGAATGCTACTGCGGGGACCCCCAGAACATCATTGTCAACAAGTCAACCAAGAAGGACGAGAAGGATTGCGGCGTTCCGTGCGTCGGAAACTCGTCCGCGCTGTGCGGCGGTGGCTCACGCCTTTCCACCTATTTCTGGAAAGGAACGCCATTCTATTCATGGAACTTTCCGGCAGCGGGAAGCCCCGCGGCCGGCTCCTACGATTTCCTCATTGGCGGCACCAACATCCCCCTCATCACGTCTCAAGCCATCAACGGCAAGGTGACTTTTCTGGAGAAATTCGGCACCGGCCCGCCCAACTCCACCGGCGCGTACGAGTTGGATCTGTCCGAGATTGATACTTGGGACAAGGCTTGGCGGACCATGCACGTCAAGACGGACGTCTTTTGCGCCGCCGGCCTCACGCTTCCTGACAAGGCCGGCCGCCAAATCAATATTGGCGGCTGGTCCGGTGAGTCGACCTTTGGCGTCCGCTTGTACGCCCCCGATGGGAAAGCCGGAACCCACGGCAAGAATGACTGGGAGGAGGACGCAAGCATCCTCACGCTGCAAGACGGCCGCTGGTATCCCACAGCCATCAACATGGCCAACGGTTCCATCCTCGTCATCGGTGGACAGGTCGGCTCCAACAGCGCGGCCGTACCGACGTTGGAAATTCTCCCCTACACGGGCACGAAGCCGCTGCGCATGGACTGGCTGGCGCGGACCGACCCAAACAACCTGTACCCCTACGCTGCTGTTCTGCCTTCTGGTGGCATCTTTGTTGCTTACTGGAACGAGGCGCGCATTCTGGACGAGAAGACCTTTGCCACTGTCAAGACGCTACCCATGATCCCCGGCGCTGTCAACGATCCGAAGGGCGGCCGCAACTACCCTCTCGAGGGCACTGCTGTTCTTCTCCCCCAGCACGCTCCGTATACAGATCCACTTGGTGTTCTTATATGCGGCGGCTCGACCAACGGACCGGGAAATGCTCTGGACAACTGTGTTAGCATCTACCCAGACGCCAAGAGTCCCAAGTGGGAGCTTGAGCGTATGCCCTCTCCCCGGGTCATGAGCTGCATGGCGCCTCTGCCGGATGGTACGTATATCATTCTCAACGGCGCGCATCACGGTGTTGCCGGTTTCGGTCTCGGTATCGGCCCGAACCTCAATGCGCTCCTGTACGATCCGAGAAAGCCGCTCGGACGCCGCATCACGGTCATGGCCAACACCACCGTCGCGCGAATGTACCACTCGGAAGGACTGACACTCTTGGACGGGCGTGTGCTCGTGTCCGGCTCCGATCCCCAGGACGGCGTCAACCCCCAGGAGTACCGCATCGAGACCTTTAGCCCACCGTACCTGCTCTCTGGCAAGCCTCGTCCCACATTCACCATCAAGAACACCGATTGGGGTTACGGCCAAAATGTAAGCTTTGAGCTGGGAGGCAAGGCTACCAATGGTGAAATCACCGTGTCGCTCCTCGGCTCCGTCTCCAGCACGCACGGCAACTCCATGGGTGCACGCACTCTGTTCCCTAAAGTGTCGTGCTCGGGAGTCTCATGCACTGTCACCGCGCCTCCTGGCAAGTATATTGCACCCCCAGGCTGGTATCAATTCTTTGCTCTGGACGGCGGTATCCCTGCTGTCGGTGTCTTTGTTCGCATCGGTGGCGACCCTGCCGGGCTTGGGAACTGGCCGAAGGGGGATGCGTTCACCCGGCCGGGTATTTGAAGATGAAGTCCGTTATTTGGTCCTATTGGTAGAACAATAGTAAGGGCTTTTGTCTTTTTTTTTGCCTCTGGGCTTGGCTCTTGGTGGCATGGCTGCCAGACTTAATATCTAGCTTGCTGTTCGAACACTAGTTAATAACTCTCTACGGAATTTCTTCAAGATGGAATTTGCGGAAGGGTTTTGATTAGCTTTGAATCAAAGTGTTGGATATTGAACAAGTGTCCAAATTACAGAATGTACTATTCGTTGTGACTCGCCGTTATGTCATGTTATTGCTTTTGTACTCCCAATCAATGTAAGATAACTCGGACGGTTCACAGCCGTATCCCGAGAATCGAATTAATCGCACTCGAGAGAAGTCCTGTGAGCTGTGCAGTGTCATAAATAGATTTGTACAAGCCGCATTGCGCGTCCACTACGGACGCCTCAACAGTCCTCAATGCAAGGCGGTTTTCGTCGTCCTCCCCGGGGATAGCACCGCCACCGAGTAGCTGCACCGAAGGTGCTTGGTCCCAGCCCGGTCCTCCGGCTGGGTTCTTTGCAAAATCAGCCCATGCCTTCTGGATCGCCTTGGAGCTCTCGATCTCGAAAGGAGTGGAACCGTCCTCCGGGTAAAACCCGAAAATGGGACGTATCTCGGCGGAATGATAAGCGCCGCTGCCAGGGAAGAGCTCTGTATTAGCAAAGCTGGCATTGTAGAAATAACGCCACGTTGGAATTTTGACATTGGCTGAGTCGCCGGCTGTCCGAGCTGTAGGGCAGGTATAAATGAAGTCAGTGACCAGTGCCTCGTCGCGCTTCTCCGGGCTCGGGTAGCCTATATACTTGGGGCGATATGTCTCGAGAAACCGCTTGCCCGTCGCGTTGCCCAAGAATTTGGCCATGACATCATCCAGCGTAACACCGCCCGTAAGAAATGGCGACGCTTCGTTGGCGTTGGAGCCAATCAACAGAGGCACGCGAGCGATTGCCTTGCGGTTGAGCTGTGAGGCGGCGCGCCTTGTAGGCATGGAGTTTGCAAACGTCACACCGGCATCAGGAGACGCAGTGAAGCTGAGGCCATTCTTCGCAGCGATGTCTACGAGCTGTTTGGCTGGAACCTGCCGCATGCACTCGAGGGTGTCGTCTGTAGAGTTACAGCTGGCACTTGTAACAAGGAAGTCCCAGGCCGCCTTCTGCTTCGTCCGGTCAACCATGCCGAGTTCAGGCTCGGAAGATTGCATGATGGCAGCCGCAAAAGGGACAGGATCTGGGGGTGCTGTAACAAGATTGTCCACGCTTCTGGCGCCTGAGCTCTGTCCGAAAATCGTGACTCGGGTTGGATCACCTCCGAATGCTCGAATATTGCGTTGTACCCAGTCCAATGCTAAACGTTGATCATGAAGACTGGGAACTGATTAGTATGTACCGAAATATCCGCAAGCCTAATTGCAAAAGGGGAAAATAGATTGCGGTACTCAAGAAAGGGATGAACTCACCCAAGGTTTCGCTCTTTCTCCGGAATATCAGATGAGGGAGGAAAGCCGAAAAGATTCAGGCGGTAGTTGGTGGTGACGACAACCACATCTTGATTACCGGCTAGATTCGTGCCATCATATTCTGGGAGCGCCGCAGTGCCAGCTGTGTCAGTACCTCCGTGTATCCAGAACATGACTGCTTTGTCGGACCCTGTCTGGGCGGAAGCTGGCGCAAACACATTGAGATATAGGCAGTCCTCGCTATCCGGAACCGTGGCTGGAGGCGTATTGAAGTACTTGTTAAGGAGTTCTGCGTTTTTGGAGCCGGAATTCAGCTGCTGATGACAGGCATTGCCGAACTGACTCGCATCGCGGGTGCCTTGCCAGCCATCCGGCTTCTCCGGTAGCTTCCATCTTGCCGGCGGCTTCGCAAAAGGAATCCCCAGAAACTTGTTGACACTGGAGGAAAGGGTAGGTTCGGAAGCAGATACCCCAATGAGCACGCCCGAGTCGATTGCAGCGGTAGGACGGCCGTCGCGCCGTAAGACGAGGGCAGAGGACCAGGACGTTTGATACCAAAGCAGCACAGTGCTGGTGTAAACAAATTTGACCATGACCGTAGCCACCGACGGATTCCGGGCGATGGGGTCACTGATGCGGTACTAGAGGCGGACACGGTTCTCTCTTGTATCTTGGCGGACATTGCCCTTTCTTGTAGGCGGTGTTGGGCAGAGGGGGGGGTGCCCAACCCATAGAATTCCCAATCCGAAACTTGCTTTTGTCACAGGTCTTACTTTACGATTCGCAAACACGAGCACGTGAAGTGGTCCACGAGAATGCGCTCCCCCTAACTATGTCGTATTGTTTGCTCCACGGTATGGAGTCTGACGAACAGCAGGGCAAAGCAAAGCTCCAGCCACGAGGCTGGTGCTCGCGCTGGGATCCCTTGGGGTCCGGGCAGGAGATCGCACGTAATCTCCGCATGTCTTTGCTTTTTGCGTTCCTATGAGTCTTGATGGAGCCGCCAGAGGATCAATGAAAGACAAACAGCCTTGGCAAGATGCGAATAATTGCGAGGCATTGCGCCATTTGAAACCCCGAGAAGACGTGGACTCTATGCATTCTCATACGAGTTTGTTGGCCAAAAACTTGGTTTTGATTCCCTCTGACGTTGGTCAATGACTCCCGTCTTGCATATTGCCCCGTAATAATATATCTGCGGAAAGAATTTCCCGGATGAATCTATCTCCCGTCGGAGCAGAGTTGGGCTTGGGCGCGATGGTGACGAATCAAGTTGGTTTGTCTCAGTCTCCACCGCCAGAGGTCCAGATGGTGGCGGGCGGCATTCGCCTCTTTTTGCTAAGATAAGGCGGCATCGAGCATTGATGGTCATTGAGCCACAGAGGGACCCTTTCGGACACGACTTCAAATTCGGCTTGCCGGTGAACTTCGATTGAGCCGATCATGGTGGATGCTCAGACCCTCTAGTTAGCACAACCCACTGCGAGGACAAGTACGGGCCCTCAACCTGGCGGCCGCTCAAGCCTCAATGCAATGCAGTAGAAACACATTTCAACTTTCGTTCGTTTTACGGACGAAAAAACTCCTTGACGCACTGGGAATCAGGCAACAAGGATGCATCGATTGATGATGTAACCTGGTGTTTGCGATCTAACTAGCCCCTGGTTTCTCAACAGTTTGGTAGATGAGATGATCACGTGATTCTACCGCGCCAAATTTCAAGGAGCTTCGATATCGGCGGAAAAGACCTTCCGGACTGTACCTCAGAGCTTTGCCAGCGACACCGAAACACCTCCCTTGATAACGTTCACAACCTGACTCGCCCAAAATGGCTGCGGTTATCAAAGCTCTCAATGCCAAGATTCGGTCAAACCCGACGACGAACTATATTTGCTCTACCCGTGAGTCCCAATGTTCCAAGCTCTCGCGCACGATTCAGCTCCTTTTGCGACGAGGCGACAAGCTCTCGCAATCGCCACGGCTGGACTCTGACGACCATCGGACTATTCGGGATGCAATCTCGCTATCCGCTTCTAGTCCTATGCTCTCTTTTTGAAGAGATTTGCAACCGGGGATGGTCGAGATCACGCGCGTGGTCGTTGGTCGTCTGGGGCTGCTGCATTCGTCGTGCATTGTCGCTCGATGGAGGGAGGTTTGCTAACGCTTATGCTCTAGATTTCTGGGGGCCCGTCTCCAACTTTGGTATTCCCGTCGCAGCCGTCATGGATACGCAGAAGAGCCCCGACCTGTATGTGGCAGGCTGGCCACGCATCGGCGCGTGCTGCCGCTCGTTTCCTATCGAATCAAACATTGGCTAACCTATCTTCTCTTGCATCTAGCATTTCCGGCGGCATGACTGGTGCCCTCATCATCTACTCTGCGACATTTATGCGCTACTCCCTCGCCGTCACCCCCCAAAACTATCTCCTCTTCGCCTGCCACCTTGTCAACGAGGGCGCGCAGCTGACACAGGGCTACCGATTCCTTTCATACCACAACTGGGGTGGTAAGGAGGCTCTTGAGGCCGCCAAAGCCCAGGCCGCCAAGGTGGAGGACAAGGCCAAGGCTGTCGTGGGCAAATAAAGCAAGTCAGACGACCACGGCGCTGGAAACACCTTTCTAGGTCAGGATTAACAAGACGAGATCAGCACCAAGGCAACTTTCCCGTGGAGTATCGTTGATAAGTGCCAAAGTACCCTGGTTTCGGAGCGGAGGCATTGCATAATATAGCTTGGATGGTGCTAAAAGAGGACTCATTGTATAATGGCGCGGCCAGGCACCGTCTGAAGAGGTCTCGGCATCATTGCCTTCGTATGGTCAAGCAAAACTCATACAGTCTATTCAGGCACAAAATATAAGCCTTTCATGATGACAAAAGTATTCTGGAGCGCCTGCAACATGTAGAGACGGATAATGATGAGGGATTAGCCATGTGCGACGAAAGCACTTAGGCGGCCCTCCCTGCCTGCAGCTTTGTCGTACAGTCACAGAGCTATTTATGTGTATATTTTGTAAGGGCTACTGATACAAGCGGAGCGGTACTAGGTGGAGTTTTACTTGTAACTGCAGAGATGAACATGTGACGAAACGCCATGTATCTGCCATCTTTGTAGAATAACTAAGTGTTACTCGGCTAGGGTTCTCGGAACCAGTGCCTATTTGTCCCGATCTCACAGAGATGGTACCACATAAGGAATAAGAAGGAAATAGTCGCGGGAATAAAAGCACAAAGAGTTAACTTGACATCACAACGGCCTATAGCAGGTCCCGCTGTCAACTTTACGCAACTGTATTCTGTTTCGGATGTAACATAGAACGGGGCTTATTATAGCTCTCAAGACCAATCCCTGTTATACGACGTTATAACCTTTACCGCCGATGCTGCAGAAGAAACCAACGCTGCATCGTATTTTAACCCTGAGGGCAATGGCATATTTCGCTCCCATTAAGAAGTTCAGTTGCAGGGACAAGACACTCCAAGGGGGTAGCAGGCATAGTCGACTCAATGTCGATCCTATACAAAAGACTCTATAGAAACAAGGCGGTAGAAAGTCGCTTGCGTACCTGTATTTTGTACCAGACTGACTGACTCATAAGTTCCAGCCGGCGCACCGTGCTCAGTCAACCAGCGGCGAGCTTGCGATATGCCGCCGTTGCTTTCACGTTGCAATGGGACGAGCGAGTCAATCTTCGGCCCGTCATCAAAACATTTCCAACGAAAAATACGCAATCGAATTTTTCTATTGGATCAATGTACATGGTTGGGAGGTGTCCGTGGGTATCCTCCAGTAACCGACAGATTATTATGTCACAGAAATCGGCACTTTGTTGCGCTTTAAATGGATCAGATTTAACTATGGGGGTTGGTGTGGATTGGTGCCCTGTCCATGTGATGCCCAGCCCATTGTTCTGGAACCGTTTACGATTGAGTTGAGTCAAAGAAGGGATTTTATTTCTCATCTTGTTGGAACCCAGGACTTGGATTGTCTCGTCATGGGGCTAGTGCATATATTTTTAGTGATGACAAGTTTTGAGCAACGAAGCCGAGGTCGGACGCTGACCCCTAGTAATATGGACCGCTTTTTCTGGTCTGTCCCGGTATTATCTCCAGAGCGAGAGATTTAATAAACCGCTATCTGTCTTATCTATGTACAACGGTATGGCTATCTCCGGGACCCCTCACATGTAACCAGCCAAGTCAAGGAAGAGGCCAGCCTTATCATTTTATGAGATACGCAACTACATACACAGAAAAGAAGAACCGCCATTTTGTCATCTATTTAGAGGTGGCCGCCGCCGCCGCGCGGAGAGAGAGATGAAGGAGTGTTCTAATTAGATATGCATTACGGCCAATGGCAATTGCGCAATACCAAAACGATCACCTGCAGGACTATTTTTTTTTCGTCAATTTTCAAAACTATGGCGGAAATAATGGATACGGTCTGTTTTTCCAGGCCACTGGCAACGTCACGAAGCGAGCGGCGTGCGCTATTCAGACAAGCAAGTCGGGCAATAGACTGGCGGAAGCTCGAGGCTGGCCCGTTGTGGGGTGGATGGATCATGGCGTCAAAGTGTGTGTGTCTGTGTATTCTTATTCTTCTCTTGATCTGCTTGCATGTGCATTCCGCTTCTTGGCTCCAGCAAGGTGGGAATTGGAACTAATAAAATACTCTATCCATTGGAGTTAATGGATCCCCCGGCATGGTTTGACTGAGTCCCTCTCCAGAGGCTCCAGAGAGTGTGGCTCCGGCTCAGAACATGGGGGGCTTTGGTCTGACGAGGGAGAAGAGTAATATCGCGAGATAGTTACTGAGGCTGCTGCTTCCTCACAAGCTGGTCAGTACCTGTGTGATGGGGTACGTACACGCCATGGGCATTTGATGTCAATTGAGCCTTTTAATATATGCTACGTGGAAGGATGCATACTATTTTACTAGGAACCAGGTAGTCGGGTCAAATTTTGCAACAATCTGTTTGAGTATTCGCATGATTGTTGTAGATGCATCTGCACTCGGCGTGTTTCGGTTATGCGAAAGTCAATGCCGATGTGCCAACCAGCAGCGCGGTACGCCCAGGAACCGAGGAGAAGAGCACAAAAGGCACTAGTTAACTCATAACTAACGAGTGCGTGGGATCCAAGGCTAGCGCCGTCTGGATCGGGGGCAGCTTTTCTTTTCCCCGTCCTCCAACTACTGGGAGAGAGGCAGAGACGAAAGTCAGATGCGGACGGGCTCGTAGGTATAGCCGTGAGGAAAACACGGGGTAACGATTTACGTACAAGCAACCGAGGGAAATAGTACCTTGTGCATTAGAGCCGTGAACGGTCCCGGGAAAAAACGCTTCGCGTTCCTTGGTGTCGCCTGGTGCCGTGGCCCGTAACCAGCTAGGGAGGCGCGGACACAGGCGGCGACCGGCGGCTCAAGGCACATGGCAGGCGAAAATAGTCAGGAACCATGTGCTCGTGGGAGTCTCGATTTGTTCCGAATCTGGCATACGGCTATGTCCATCACGCGGCCACCTCGCCTTGCCCCGTGCTTCTCCCACTCGGTTTCTCAGATGCTGGGCCAGTGACACATGTTTTCTCGTCAATGAGGGCAAGGCCATGAAGAGAGTACAGAGGAAGCCGTGTTGGCTTGCGATTGCTCCATACACCCCCCCCCCCCCTCTGAATTGACTACCCGAGTACGGTAAAGGCGGTTGCGAGCCCGCCGTGTCTTTTAGCAGCAATACGCTGCAGTTTGACCTGGTAGTGAGCATTAGACGTTGGCCAACCGGCTGTAGCTTCTTAAAAAAAAAAACTATACCGAGTTCGAATCCCGCAGGTCTCACACAATGCAGTGCGAGGGGCCAGGGGGCCAGGCAAGCCTGTGGTAATACAACTCGGTAATACAGACCTTGGCGGGTTACTGGCTGACACTTTTCTTACTCATATCTCAGTAAAATCTGAGATTGATTTCGGAGAGCGGTAGCAATAAGATGGATGCGAACCCTGCTGTCTCGGCGAGTTTGGCGCGCTCCATCGTGGTAGCGCATCTCGTCTCCTTGCTGTGACAGTGAAGTCAGGAGGAGGTTGAGAAGTTTGAGAAGGTTGATGCCCAGAAGAGTTGAGAAAGCTCCAGGTTTGGCACATGTCTCGAGGACGGGGTTAGTGACCAATAAGTTGCTAAGAACCATGAATTCTGGACTCGAAACAAAATAGAGTCTTTGGTCTGCAAGCTTATTACACCGAATTTGGAGTTGTTTGATGTACATGATTGATCATTGAATCCGTCCGTAATGTGTAATGCGCCGTTATCCGGTGAATGTGATTGGCCAATGGGGGAAGACAAGGGCCGACGGGCTGGATCTTGCTCACAACAACGCAACTGAAACGGTACGAGCTTAGCGGACTTGACAGAAGCTACAGGGCGGATTAGTGGGTGGTGGTCAGCTATTACGCCAGGCAAGTACTTGATCCCTGGAACGATAGGTATTTATCCGTACGCAACAAGAAGAGCAAGCAAAAAGGTGTGCCTTCAGACCATGCTGTGAGACGCAGGACAGGCGGCGTATGCCTGTCGCCAAGCGACGCGTGGTGCTGTGACGGGGTGGTAGATCTTATTGCGTCCATGACGACGTCTGATACAGCGTCTCAGACAAAAGTGCTGACACGAGAAGATACTTTGGACTCAGTGGTGGTCAGCTGGAGCATCTGTTGTGGGAGTCTATATATGGCCTGGTTGACAGAGAGGGGCGTGGCTTTCGGGTGCCCGCACTCGAGGGATCTGGTAAGTCGGCAAAACAGGAGATGGTTGGTTACATATTAGTTACTCCGTAATCTGTACTCCGTGCTTGGAGCGCCAAGCACAAGTGCACAGGGCACAAGTTGACAAGGTGATGGCATCTCAAGAACGACAAGCTTAAACACTAGGCTGTTGGCGTCTGAGACATTGGGCAACCGGAGACAGAGTGACCACATAGAGGGAGGGGGTTCGGCCTCGGAGGGTGCCGACGTGAGCGTGGATGAGTTTTGCCATGGATCTGGCGGGAGAGTAGAGGGAAAAAACGGACATGATTTGGGCAAGAATTCTCCTCAGACAGATCGATTCGACGCTCGGCGTCCTTCTCCGTTGAGCCGGGGCGCGGCATTTGGAGGGCCGAAGCACCCTGCGGGCTGTGCTCCTGCTGCAGGCGACCGAGCAATCAAGAGCCCCGCGGTCCACGGCCACCATACATGTCGAGCATTGAGCGTCGAGGGATTGTGAGCCTGCAAGCCCCCATGTGGGCGTTTCTGTGGCAGTTTTGGCGTCGCGGCAGACTCAAAGAATGAGTCGGACCTTTGAGTCTGATGAAGCTTGGAGAGACGCTGTGGGAAGAAAAAAAAGTAGCTCATGGGGGGCTGCGAGGCCGCCTCGGTCACTGAGGGCTTATTATTACCTACCTGTACCTACAGGTAGGTACCAAAGTACCGATTGGTAGAGGAGGTATATGTACCGATGGGATTTAACGACACCCCTAGTGCTCGAGGAGGTCAAGCCATAGCTACCTATATAGACCTGCTTCTATGCAACAAAACAACAGATTGAAAAAAAGAAAGAAAAGTAGACATGAGTGAGGGGAGTCTATTTTTATTTCTACCAGCATGCCAATTGCGACGAGACATGTTCAACGCCCATGAAGGAGGCGGGCAGCACGGGTACAGTTTGTGCTGGTGTCGCAGCAAAGCTACTACCTTAGTAGTACCTAATACCTGTCCAGCCGGCACCCCTCCCCCACCACGGTAGGTACCAAGTGAGAGGAGAAGGCAGGTACCTGCTGCCAAACCAAAGACAGACAAAGCCAGACAAAACCAGACAAAACCAGACTGGCGGTGCTCCTCTTGCTCCTCTTCCTCCTTCCTGCCAATGCCAGCTGCCCGTCGCTGTTTGTCTGTTTGTACCCCGCCGTCCTTCTCCGGCTGTCTTGCTTGTGAACCTTTTTAAGTAGCCCGCCAGCTCCCCCCCCTCCACTGCCTCGCCATCTCTCTCCCCTCCCCGTCTTCTATCTTTTTTCCATCGCATCATTATCTCGGTTCCCTTCCATTCGCGCCGCTTCCTTGCCCTTTCTCTCTTCTGCTACAAAATCTCCCATCATGGCGCCCGTCCCGGCTGCGTCCCCGCCGCAGCAGGCCCTCACCTTCAACGACGTCTTTGACGATGCCGATGACGAGCCCCAGCAGCAGCAGACGGTCCAGCACATCCGCGCCAACTCGAGCATTATGCACCTCAAGAAGATTCTCGGTCAGTGTTTTTAGGCGCTTCTGCCGCTACCGCCCATCGCCAATGGCTCTCCCCGCAAAGCCGAGTCTTGTGCTAACCGAGGCCTCAACATGCAGTCGCCAACCGTGGTGAAATCCGTAAGTCGCTCTCTACGGCTCCCCGCCGCGCCGCAAGCTGCTAACAATGGCTCTATAGCTATTCGAGTATGGAAACATCCTCTCCATTTACGAATGGCGGCGCAATTGCTATCCGACTGAGCTAACCATGGTGGCTCTGCTCTCTAGATTTTCAGAACTGTAAGTAGCCGCCTACCCTGCCAGTGCGCACTGCCGAATCTAACCCAAGCGCAGGCCCACGAACTCTCTCTACACACCATTGCCGTCTTCAGGTACAAAAGCTCATTGCTCAATCAAGCAAGTTTCTTTGTTCAACGACTCGCTAACCATTTCTAGCTATGAGGATCGACTAAGCATGCACCGTCAAAGTATGCCATCTACCCCGCCTCATCACCTTGCTCCCACGCTAACCAGTCCCAACAGAGGCCGACGAAGCCTACGTGATTGGAAAGCGCGGTCAATATACCCCTGTCGGTGCCTATCTCGCCGGCGACGAAATTATCAAGATTGCTGTCGAGCATGGCGCTCAACTGATCCATCCCGGTACGACTCTGCTAAGGACGCCACTCTGCAGCACTTCCCGAGCTAACTCCACCAGGCTACGGCTTCCTCTCCGAGAACGCCGAATTCGCTCGCAACGTCGAAAAGGCTGGTCTCATTGTACGTCGAATTGCTCTACAACGCCCGCGAGCAAAGTTCTCACTCACTGACTCGACCTTTCTTCTAGTTCGTCGGTCCCTCCCCCGATGTCATTGATGCCCTCGGTGACAAGGTCTCGGCCAGAAAGCTCGCCATAGCAGCCCAAGTCCCCGTTGTCCCGGGTACCCCGGGTGCCGTCGCCACTTACGAAGAGGTCAAGTCCTTCACTGACGAGTATGGATTCCCCATCATCATCAAGGCCGCTTACGGTGGTGGCGGCCGTGGTATGCGTGTAGTCCGCGAGCCCGAGAGCCTTCAGGAGAACTTTGAGCGTGCCACCTCCGAGGCCAAGTCCGCTTTCGGCAACGGTACCGTCTTTGTCGAGCGTTTCCTTGACAAGCCCAAGCATATCGAGGTTCAGCTCATTGGTGATAACCACGGCAACATTGTCCACCTGTACGAGCGTGATTGCTCCGTCCAGCGTCGCCACCAAAAGGTCGTCGAGATTGCTCCCGCCAAGGATCTCCCCAAGGAGACCAGAGACGCCATTCTCGCCGACGCTGTCAAACTGGCCAAGTCGGTTAACTACCGCAACGCCGGTACCGCCGAATTCCTTGTCGACCAGCAGAACCGATACTACTTCATTGAGATCAACCCCAGAATCCAGGTCGAACACACAATCACCGAAGAAATTACCGGCATCGATATCGTCGCCGCTCAGATCCAGATCGCCGCTGGTGCCACCCTTGCCCAGCTTGGCCTGACTCAGGATCGCATCTCCACTCGCGGTTTTGCCATTCAGTGCCGTATCACCACTGAGGACCCTGCCAAGCAGTTCCAGCCCGACACTGGAAAGATTGAAGTCTATAGAACTGCCGGTGGCGCTGGTGTTCGCCTTGACGGTGGCAATGGTTTCGCCGGTTCAGTCATTACACCCTTCTACGATTCCATGCTGGTCAAGTGCACTTGCCACGGCTCAACTTACGAAATCGCCCGCAGAAAGGTTCTCCGTGCTCTCATTGAGTTCCGTGTCCGCGGTGTCAAGACCAACATTCCCTTCTTGGCCCGTCTGCTTACCCATCCTACTTTCATCGAGAGCAACTGCTGGACCACCTTCATCGACGATACCCCCGAGCTCTTTGATCTCCTCAGCAGCCAGAACAGAGGCCAGAAGCTGCTCGCTTACCTCGGTGATGTTGCCGTCAACGGCAGTTCCATCAAGGGCCAGATTGGAGAGCCCAAGTTCAAGGGCGAAATCATCATTCCTGAAATTGTTCGATCCGATGGCACCAAGGTCGATGTCAGCCAGCCTTGCCAGAAGGGCTGGAGAAACATCATCATCGAGCAGGGCCCTAAGGCCTTTGCCAAGGCTGTTCGCCAGAACAAGGGATGTCTTCTCATGGATACTACTTGGCGTGATGCTCACCAGTCTCTTCTGGCCACACGTGTTCGTACTGTTGATCTGCTCAACATTGCCAAGGAGACCAGCCACGCTCTGTCCAACCTGTTCAGCTTGGAATGCTGGGGAGGTGCTACTTTTGATGTCGCCATGCGCTTCCTGTACGAAGACCCTTGGGACCGTCTCCGCAAGATGCGCAAGCTTGTTCCCAACATTCCATTCCAGATGCTTCTGCGTGGTGCCAACGGTGTCGCTTACTCTTCTCTCCCTGACAATGCCATTGACCAGTTTGTCGACCAGGCCAAGAAGAACGGTGTCGATATTTTCCGTGTATTTGATGCTCTGAACGATATTGATCAGCTCGAGGTCGGTATCAAGGCTGTCCACAAGGCTGGTGGTGTTGTTGAGGGTACCGTCTGCTTCAGCGGTGACATGCTCAACCCCCACAAGAAGTACAACTTGGAGTACTACCTCGACCTTATTGAGAAGCTCGTTAAGCTCGACATCCATATTCTTGGCATCAAGGATATGGCTGGTGTTCTCAAGCCCCACGCTGCTACCCTTCTGATCGGCGCCGTCCGCGAGAAATACCCCGACCTGCCCATCCACGTCCACACTCACGACTCCGCCGGTACTGGCGTTGCCTCCATGGTTGCTTGCGCCAAGGCCGGTGCCGATGCTGTCGACGCTGCCACTGACAGTTTGTCTGGCATGACTTCCCAACCCAGCATCAACGCCATTATGGCGTCTCTCGAGGGATCTGGCCTCGAGCCTGGTCTGGATCCTCACCAGGTCCGCGCTCTGGACACCTACTGGTCGCAGCTCCGCCTCCTCTACTCTCCCTTCGAAGCCCACCTTGCTGGTCCCGACCCCGAGGTTTACGAGCACGAAATCCCTGGTGGTCAGCTCACCAACATGATGTTCCAGGCTTCGCAGCTCGGTCTCGGCTCCCAGTGGCTTGAGACCAAGAAGGCCTACGAACAGGCCAACGATCTCCTCGGCGATATTGTCAAGGTCACTCCTACCTCCAAGGTTGTTGGTGATCTTGCTCAGTTTATGGTTTCCAACGGTCTTGATGCTGCGGCAGTCAAGGCTCGTGCTAGCGAGCTCGACTTCCCTGGCTCCGTTTTGGAATTCCTTGAGGGTCTGATGGGTCAGCCCTACGGCGGATTCCCCGAGCCTCTCCGAACCGATGCCCTGCGCGGACGCCGCAAGCTTGACAAGCGCCCCGGTCTCTACCTCGAACCTGTCGACTTTGCCAAGGTCAAGAAGGAATTAGGCAAGAAGCTCGGCGCCCCCGTTACTGAATGCGACATCGCTTCTTATGTCATGTACCCCAAGGTTTTTGAGGACTACCGCAAGTTTGTTGACCAGTACGGTGACCTCTCTGTCCTTCCTACGCGCTTCTTCCTCTCCAAACCTGAGATTGGTGAGGAGTTCAACGTTGAGCTGGAGAAGGGCAAGGTTCTGATTCTGAAGCTCCTTGCTATCGGTCCCCTGAGTGAGAACACTGGCCAGCGTGAAGTGTTCTTTGAGATGAATGGCGAGGTCCGCCAGGTGACCGTCATTGATAAGACGGCTGCCGTCGAGAACATTAGCCGCCCCAAGGCCGATGCCACCGACTCGAGCCAGGTTGGTGCCCCCATGTCTGGTGTTTTGGTTGAGATGAGAGTGCATGAGGGCTCGGAGGTGAAGAAGGGCGACCCTCTTGCTGTCTTGTCGGCCATGAAGATGGAAATGGTTATTTCTGCTCCCCACAGCGGCAAGGTTTCCGGCCTGCAGGTCAAGGAAGGCGACTCCGTCGATGGCTCCGACCTTATCTGCCGCATCACCAAATAAAGTAGCAAAAGTACCTATGAATTGATGCTGGAACTGGCGCGAAATGGGAAACGGAACTGGAATTTTATTGGTTTACTTTGTAGCACTTGATAGTATGAATACATTTTGATGACAATGTGGCCAGTATCTTGACGGTGTACTATGAGTAGTAGTTATGTCTTCAAAATTTAACCTACTAATAGAACATAGCCCGACGATCCCCTCCCCTCCTCCGAATGATTTTCCGCGTTCCTACTCGCCAGGGGCTCGTGAACCATTGGAGTCTCTGTTGTCATGGGCATCTCGGACCACCTCACCACGCGGGTGGCCTTCGCGTCACCCACTTTTCAGCATCTCGGACTTGGGCGGCATTGACCCGATATATCTGCTTGAGGGGACCTTGAAGCGGCCCTGAGAACTGGTTGCCTAGCGTCCAGGTAGTCTTGGCCAATCTGTAGGTAGTCTCGGCCAGCCTGGCGGTAGTCCTGGCCAGCTTGGTGGCAGCAAGCGATACTCAAGCAGAGTTGGGAGCTGCGGCCGCCAGAAGCCAGAGTAGATGGAGAAGAACAAAGAGGCGAAGAAGAGGGAGAATATGAATGAGAAGCAGAAAGAGAAAAATAAAAAGCAACAATAACAAGGAGAAGGAGTATACGGAGGGGTATGATGATGAGTATGGTGATGAGTACAATGAGGAAGAGGGGGAATAGCAGAAGGGGGAAGAGAAGGAGCAGTAGCGGAAGGAGGCGAAGACGTAAGCGCAGGCCGAGCAGACGCAGGCCGAGCAGGCTTAGACTCAGGCTCAGGTGGAGGCGGAGGCGGAGGCGGAGGAAGAAGAAGACGGTGAGGAAAAAACGGGAGGCGGAGAGGAAGAGAAAGGGGACGATTATGGCAACGAGACGATGGCGGATCAGGGGGAGGTGATGGAGAGGGAGGAAGAGCAGGAGGGGCAGGGGGAGCAGGAAGAGCAGGCAGAGAAGGAAGAAGAGGAGTTGGTCGAACAGATGGAGGTGGTAGAAGAAGAGGAATAGGCCGAGGAGAAGGCGGAAGATGAGGCGAGAGAGGCGCTGGGAGAGACTGAGGAGAGGAAATAAAATGAAAGATATACTTGAGCAGTGATATCATAAAGAGAGGAGTAAGAGGCAATGTCGTATCCGTAGACGCAGGGTTCGACGATGGAGGAGGCTGTGGGGGAGATGGCGGATATGGTGGATATGGACGAGGAGCAGCGGAGAAAGGAAAGTAGGACGATGAAGAATGGGAAGGATGTGAAGAAGATAGAGGAGAAGAGGGGGAGTATAAGGAAGATGGAGAATGTAACGGGCGAGGCGGAGAAGAAAATAATGCGGCGAAAAAAGACGAGAGAGAGAAATACGAAGGCGGCATAGATGAAGAGGAAGGAGAGGAAAAGGAAAAGGTGGAAGTCTGAGATAAAGCCAAAGATGATGACGATGTCACGGGGGCGTAGACGTCCAGTCTGGTTCAGAGAAGTCGGGCTGGAAACGGTGGGAGCCGGTGGGAGGAGCGTGAGTCGAGATAGGATTGTTGTTGGCTGTGTTGGTCGGCAACCATGGGCGTCAGGACATACACTAACAGAGCATGCCAGTGCCAGTAGTTGAAGGATCTGTGGAATTTTGTATCAAGACAAATTGAAGTGCAAGGATCCGGCATTTTGTAAGGTGATGGCTCGCAGCCTGCCGGTGCTCTCTGTTGTGTTTGAATAGGGCATCTAAGCTGAGGTGTGATTGCGGATCTTCTCACAGTGTCCTTGACAGATGGTCACAGTCAATAAACAAATACAGTGGGAATGCTACAAAGACGGAACATGGTGCGCGCAGTACGCATCGTGAATCACGGCTCGTGTGGTCAAAGAAGGGTTTGCGTGTATTGGGTGTGAAACGGCTCTGGCGAACAAGGACAGACTTAGATCAAGAAAGAGTCTCGCAAACATATGACAATGACCTATCAAGTTTGGCTCAAATCAAGATTGAGTCGGGTGTTTGTTTGCTGATGCGATCTCGTGTCGGCTGGTTCATCGATGAGGTGCTCAAGCTGACTGCGTATGGATATGCACAGATGGTGATGCTACGGGCCTCTGATGGGATGAAGCTTGGCGACACCGACTGGGAATGACGAGGCACACACAAAACACCCCCCTTATAGGCCCTTGTCCCCAGTCAATTTATACAACGGTTAGTTATTATGTAAGTGAATGGCGCATGGGAAACGTTGCACCTGGGCTAGCGAAGTTGTGGCCGCGACCGCGGGAAGCCACACGCCGACCAAAGTCCGGGGCGGCGCCAACCTCGGGATATTTTGTTTAACTATAGATATATGGGAAAATTAGGGGTAGTCTGCATTTCAGCTGAGTGGCTGCCTTTTCTCCGAGCTATCACTGCGTAGTGTGTAGCGCCGGACAAGTAGAGGCAATCCGGCTGGGGCGCGCATGCAAGACCGAGTCGCGGCCTGCGCCGGCTCGCCTGCGACTACGAATTACGGACGAACCAAAGCCACTCCTCGCCCGTGGCTGCAGGACAGCTTGATTGGCAGCGCCGAGGCCGCTGGTCCGGTGGTGTGTGGCCGAGTTCTGCACGGTGACAGGCTGAAATGCAGACTATGCGTGTGTGTGGGAGGCCACGCCAGAGCTCACGGGATGGGTGACGACTGTCGAGGCTAATTTACGAATTAAGCAGGCTGGCAAGCATGGACGTGGCGGAAAAGGGGCTGTCAAGTGCGCGGGCGGCGCTTGGTTTGATGATTGATGTGGGATGGGGCGTGATACATGGCCTTTTTGGAGAGTTATTTAGGACAAGGAGGTTTGGGGGATCTCGAGCAAGCAGCAGCAGCAGCAGCATATACGAAGTATGTAAAAGCAACGCGGAGAGGGCGTCGCTGCTCGTGTAGTTCGAGGACACGGCGAGAACGGACGCGGGGTGGCGACGGGCAAAACGCAAGGGGTCGGGGTGATATGTAATAAGAGGGAGCATGACAGCAGCGGCCAGGGGCAGGCGTGAGCTGGGGCGGCGGCGATCGAGCCAGACAGGCTGGTGGCGTGCTGAAAATGCTTGGTATGCGTGTGCGTGATCGGGAGGCAGAGGCAGGTGGTTCTTCTTTCTTTTTTTTCTCTTCTTTCTTGTGCTGACTTGCTTTGTTGTTTGGAGTCATCTGCCAGCAAGCATGCATGATGACCAGTACTGTGTAGAATGTGTAGGTATCTAGACGTCAAGGGGATATGCGCGCGGATAGAAAGAACGAAGTACGGGCACTCAGGTGCAAGTATATACCGGCAGTCCAGTATCAGTAACTACAGGCTCCAAGTGTGGGGGTTAGCGCGTGACCCCGCAAATTACAGCGAGAATCAGTGGGTTGGCGCAATGTACAGGGGACCAGGCCCGCAAGCGGAGACACGTCACGTCACTGTACAAATACCAGAACATGTCGCAAGGGCTCACTGATACAGTTCCATGCTAAATAATATAGAAAATATTCTAGAGACATTTCATCTTGACTGACATCATGACCATCATTTACTTTTTAATTTCCTCTTCCAGCCTTGCTGCTCGCTCTCCTGCAAACTCAGCTCAAAGTTTTCGCTTGCTTCAGTGGAACCTGCTGTAATATATTGTGGTCCCCGCCTCGTGCACGCCGCCGGCTGCGTCCATCTATCTGTCTTTAGTACAAATTACTTAGTAGTAGCCAAGACTTGCCAACTCGCCGCCTCGTTTCCCGCCCATGTCCTCTAACCCACCCTCTAATAATTCACCCACGCGCTCAACCTCGATCCCTATTTCTTCAACACCAACCAGACCACCACCCAACGACTTCCAGAGCCCCCATCGCAGGACATCGAATAACTATACTACAACCCTCTTGCGTCTTTTCTCGCTACCTTCTTGATACGCCGACCAGCCATACTCGATCGGCCACATTTTTTCAGCCCACAAATCAATATTGATCCCCTCGCGACCGTATTTCGACCGCCTCCCTCGCCGCGACTGCTCTGGCTCGCTTTGGCCCCGCGCCTCTCGCTGCCAGTTGCTGTTCCTAGTCGCTTCCGTCATCTCTACTTCATCTCACAGCCCTTGTACAAGAATCTGTCGTCATGGAGAGCCTGCAGCTTTCCCAGGTCCTCGCCGATTTGAGTAACCTTGGCGCCGCGGTACGTGTGCTTGCTCCTGCATCCAGCCAGCCACTGCCAGTCTCCTGTCCCGCAGAAAATGGAAATCATCGCCCTATTTACTTGTCGATACTAACTCATTGACCAACAGGAACCCCAGGCTGCCGCCGCCATCGTCAATGCCAATGTCCCCATTGTCCGACCCGAATCCGCCAACGAGTCCTCCACCTCACATCCCCAGCAGCAGCAGCCGCGCCCTCCCGCCATGCGTCGCCACTGGTCCACGGAACCGGGCCTGCCCAAGTTCGACAAGCTCGGCCGTCGCATCCTCATCAGCTCGCCGAACCTATCCCGTCCCTCGTCCAACACCAACTCAATCCCCGGCACTCCGCGCGGTGGCGGCTCAGATGCAAGTCCAACAATACCCCGCGCATGCAGGCTTTTTGCACACGCCGCGCAAGAAATGCGACAAGTAAACGCTAACCCGTATTGCAGGTTGATGATGACTTGGAGCGCGCCTCTACTCTTATGGCGCTTTACGATATCCGTGCCAAGATTAAGCAGCAGGATAACAGCAGCCTGATCAAGGCCCGCGAGAAGATCAACGCTCTCGCCGCCAAGCAGCAGGCCCAGCAAGTCGCCGACCGAAACGCCAAGGCGGCCGAGGAAGCCCGAAAAACCCGCTACTCCTTCCCTCGCAGCGGCCTCTAAACAGCCTGCCTGTCCCCAGCCAGTACCTTGATTGCACACGGCTCACGTACCTCACCCGCTGCAATCGCGTTGCTCGCTATATTCTACCGACTCTCCCTATACGATGCCTTATATACCCTACGACTACGATACCACCACGCCAGCTGCGTGGAAACTACAGATGCGGACCTGTCATCATGTAATACCCCTCTTAATGACCTACAAGCAATGGCGGCCTAATCCGCGAATTGGCCCCTCTCGACGAATCATGTTGAGGCGCAAAGTTACCCATGATGTCTACTGCGTTGATGCTTTCTTTACTTTTCGGGACAATAAAAGCAATCATCTCCATGGCTCTTTTTGTCCATTGGTGGCACGGCGTCACGGTTTCCTTTTGTACGTATCAGACTTGTTCATTCCCTTGCGTGTTTTGTCTTGTTGTCCTTTTTGCGCTGCAACTACGAGACGGGTGAAGAATGGCGACGTTCAGTGATGGCGAAAACAGCTTAGAAGGCTGCAGAACGAGTATTGTTTTCTTCCGGTAGAGAGCGTTTTTTTTTTGGGGGGAGGAGAAAGTCTCTTTTTAGGAGGAGAATGTTTCTTTTGAGGAGGAGAAATGGAGGTCAAGGCAGGGAGATTTTGCGCATTTTTATACAGCCTGCAGATAGTACAAGCCGTGTTGACGTTTTTTGCTTGCTTGCTCCGGGATTGATGTGACTGGGGTGGTAGCAGTTATAAATAGGTCGATATGATAAGACCGACAGTGCCGCATCGAGATTGAATCATCTGCAGTCGCCAGTGTGCAGCACTCGCAATGATTGCATGCAACGGAATTTGTCACATTGATAACAAGCATCCCTATCCTATATTGGTATATGAAACCGGCGAGACGGAGCCGATCATCCCCTCCACACTAAAGTTGGAAACGATTTCAAGATTTTATCAAAGTACCGGAAATACTGCGCATCCTGGGCTTCGCGTCAACAGGGTCTCGACATGCCGTCGGCATGGCTCTTCCGTTGCCGACCACTGTTACCTAAATTGATGGTGCGCCTACGATGCCTGCTAAGCCACCCACCCACGACATGACAACAGTTGAACGCGCGGCCGGGTATCGGGATAAGGCACGCGGTGGGACACACGCAGGTGGATTTTCCGGTGCCAGACTTCGGACAATCATTCTGCTGCAGAGAGAGAGCAGGATTTGTCAGTGGCTACATCTTGTTGCGCTGCTGAAAGGATGCTGGGTGGTGTAGTCTTGGCGGGCGGGCAGGATGTGGCAGTGATGTTGGTGTCATATGACGGGTATATACGCAAGACTTTTTTTTTCTACAGTTCTTTCATCTTGCTATTATGGTTATTATTTGTTGGTTTTTACATTGCTCGAGAACGGCGGAAATGAATTCATCGAGTGCATGCGCGGGAATAATGTATTGTTCCCGCTGGTAGGTACATTCCTCGTTCAAAGAGGCCGCCACAGGAAATTCGGGAAATTCCAAGCCACACACACAGCAAGGCGAGTTGGGCAGAACAAGCTTCGACTGCAGCGGAGCGCCCCACATGCCGGCTTGCAGAACTCTGTACGATTTCGCAGATATGACGTCTGGCAACTGCTGCACCGCCACCCAAGGCCAAGGACGGAGCATGTGCGCCATGAAGTTTTGAGCAGACCAGACTTGCAAGCTGGCCGGGGTGAGAATAGGCAGAGGAATGTTTTTTTAAGAAGATATTTTTCTTTTTTTTTAATTACAACTCGGCAACACACAAGTATGAGTGACGCCTACATTTTATTTAGGCCTTCCTCTGCGGGTCAAGGCAATCTGGCCAGGACGTGCACCGCACCACACCGAATCCTTTTCCGTGTGTGGGCACGCCCAGGCCTGCCCAGCCACAGTAGTCTGGCTCCGCCTCTTTTTCAGCTTGCCGGGGGGGCCTTGATTCTGACCTTAATCGTCCTCGCCTCGCCTTGGCCATTAGTGAACTAGTACGACTTCTCTCTTGCGTTCATCCGATTCTACAAGTTTCTCTTGACAATTTTTAAACCCAAATTGCTCGGCCATCACCAGAAAAAGGAAAAATAACCCTTTTTCTAGCGGAAATACCAGACTTTGCAGTTCTCTCCGTCCGGCTTTGCGACCATTTCAGCCCTGTTTGACCTTCGTCACTTAACTAGTTGTCTCCACTTTTTTAGTTGCAACAAGTGCCACGCCGCGCCTCTGGTCTCTGGTACCAGAAGACTGGTCGCGTCCGCCGCTCTCTTTGGGGTCCCAATCTTTCGTCCCTCCCACTCTCCCAAAGCATCCTCCTTTTCCTCCTTCATCATAATCACCTATCCGTCGAGACGAAAAAGAGCTTCCCGCACGGAAATCAATCGCTCGTCTCCGCACCTCATCATGGACGCCACAAACCTGCTCGACCCCCGCCTCATCGGCAGCCGATGCCCTAGCGGCTACTCGTACCGCAACGGATACTGCTACCGCAACAGCTGGTACAGCTGGGGTCGCTGGGTCCTCGTCGGTGTCCTCATCTTCTTTGCTCTCGTCTTCCTCTTCCTCTGCAGGTGCGCTCCTCTCCCCCTCTGAGCCCTTTGTCGTCCCACAACCAGTGTAAAGACTAACAAACGCACAGCTGCTGCGCTCGCCGCCGCTCGCGCAAGGGTTCCAAGCCCATGTACGGCACCGGCTGGATGGGCGGCAACAAATGGGGTGGCAACAACAACAACAACGCCCAGAACACCTATCCTCAGCAGACCTACCCCCAGCAGGACTACAACCAGAACCAAGGTGGCTACAACTACAACCAGCAGCAGCAGGGCTATCAGGCACCGCCCAACTACGGCAACAACTCCCAGCAGCCCCAGAATACCGGCACCACCATGAACCCCAACGACGGCTACTACGGTAACCAGCAGTACGGCGGCCCCCAGCAGCCCCAGAACACGTACCAGCCCGCTGGTGGCTACGCCCCTCCTCCCGGCCCTCCTCCCACCAAATAAGGCTGATGCCCGAACGGACGCACATGCGCGAGCGAGAGAGACCAGACGGAATAGGAACGAAACGGACCGACTGACGACGAGTCGCACGTAATGAATGCCATGCTGGAAGGGAACGCGAGATGGAAGTAATCGAACAAGAGATGCTTGAACAAAAAAGTCATCTGCGGCTGGTTGCGGCGTTGGTTTGGATCTGTATGCTCTTGATCATCGGGGTTGGCCCGTGAATTATTGTTCTTTGTTTCAGGCGTACGACTTGTAGAGTCAGGTTGCCTTGTTTATATATAGTTGGAAAGTGCAGAGATGATTCCCCAGAAGCTTGGCTGGTTTTTTCAGCTCGATACACTCAAAGTCGAATGTTTTGGAGGACGATGCTAGGATTTTAATGTGCATAAACTCGTAATTCAATTCACGAGTGGTACACTATTGCGCACTTAATTGATCTCGAATTCAAAGTAGCAAAGGACGTGTCCAGTTATGGCGTGATGACAAAGCGAGGCTATAGATATGTACCTAGGCTGCCGGCAATCAAGTCTGTCACATGAGACACACAGAAATTGGAGCTTCCCCAGGTTGCCAGGTTGGCTGTCCAGACACTATAACAGGTCTGCGGGATGGCCCCGATTCAACCAGACAAGCCCTCAATCGCCATCAGAACCCTTCGGACCCTTCCAGGGTCATCAACGCCGGGGACGGCCTTATTACGCTATGCTTCATCTCCATGGCCGGAGCTGCGGAGCAACTGGGGGGACTGTCCACTACGTGCGCCATCTGGGGGCGGGCTCCCCCAGATTACCGTGCCGAGGTACACCAAGCTAGTGGACTCGAGACGACCGTTTGCACAGATCCTCCGCAGCTCCCGCGATCCTGATTTTCTCTCTGCTACATATACAACATATTCACACAGCCCCGAACGAATAGCAGATCCAATCACTTCTTGCTCTTCGCCATCATGCCGTTTAGCACAAATCACGAGATTGACGATGCAAGTTTCCCCCTCCCACCCCGTCCTCTCGCCACTGCCCCTATCAACCAACACCAGTTCGCCACCCGCCCACATGTACTAATATGGACCTCATTCTAGGCCGTCGCAACCGTCACCAAGACGTTCAAGTCCAACGTGACCAAGCCGCTGGCATGGCGCATCACGCAGCTGCGCAAGGCGTGGTGGATGCTCGAGGATAACAAGGAGCGCATCGTCGAGGCGCTCAAGTCGGACCTCAACAAGCACCGACAGGAAGCGCTGCCCGTCGACGTCGCCGGCGTGCAGACGGCCATCCTCGAGGCCCTCAAGCACATCAAGGCGTGGAACGCCGACGAGCGGCCGGCGCGCACCAACCCGCTCAACCTGCTCGGCGGCGCCCGCATCCGCCGCGAGCCCAAGGGCGTCGCCCTCATCATCTCGGCGTGGAACTTTCCCTTTATGGAGCTCTTTGAGCCCATGGTGGCCGCGCTGGCCGCCGGCTGCACCACCATCCTCAAGCCCTCGGAGCTGGCGCCGGCCTCGCAGGACCTGATTGCGCGCATCGTGCCCGAGTACCTCGACCGCGACGCGGTGCGCGTCGTCACCGCCGGCCCCGCCGAGATGAACCACCTGCTCGGCCACAAGTTTGACCACATCTTCTTCACCGGCTCGACCGTCGTCGGCAAGATCATCTACGCCCGCGCCGCGCCCAACCTAACGACGGTCACGCTCGAGCTCGGCGGCCGCGGGCCGGCCATTGTCACGGCCAACGCCAACGTCGACCTCGCGGCCAAGCGCATCGCCAACATCAAGTTCCTCAACGCCGGCCAGGTCTGCGTCGGCGTCAACCACGTCTTTGTCGACCCCAAGGTCAAGGCGCCGTTCCTCAAGGCGCTCGCCAAGTACTTTGACCAGTACCTCGGCGGCAGCCCCGCCGCCCACCCGGCCCACGTCACCACCATTGTCAACGACCGCCACTACAACCGCCTGCAGGGCCTGCTGGAGAAGTCGTCGGGCAACATCATCTACGGCGGCGACCGCGACCCGGCCACGCGCTACTTTGCGCCCACCGTCGTCGACAACGTCACCACCGACGACGCGCTGCTGTCCGAGGAGCTCTTTGGCCCCATCCTGCCCATCCTCGACGGCACCCTCGACGAGGCCATTGCCTACACCGCCGCCCACGACCACCCGCTGTCGCTCTACGGCTTCACCGACTCGCGCGCCGAGCAGCGCGCCATCCTCGACCGCACCAACTCGGGCGGCGTCACCTTCAACGACGGCCTGCTGCACATGGCCATGAAGGACGCCCCCTTTGGCGGCGTCGGCGGCTCCGGCACCGGCGCCTACCACGGCATCTACGGCTTCCGCGAGTTCACACACCTCCGCACCATCGCCTCCATCCCCGCCTGGATGGACGCCATGCTCTCCTTCCGCTACCCGCCGTATACTAACGCCAAGGCCCTGGCCCAGATCAAGGCCACTGGCGGCGGCGGCTCCGTCTCGTTTGACCGCGAGGGACGATCCACCACCTCGGTCCTCGGCCGCATCCTCGGCCAGTGGAAGCTGCTCGTCCTCGTCGCCGTCGTTCTCAAGTGGCGTGGCTGGACTCTGGAGGACTTGCGCAGCCTCGTTGGCTAAGGAAGAAGAAACAAGACAAAAAAAATGTATTATGAAAGAATTTCTGTTTCAATCGGCTCAGATTGACCATGTCTGCCGTATTATCTAACAGTGTTGCCTCGGTATTCGAATATGCTCATTTCAGATTGGGAATTTATCTCATGTGCAAGTTCGTAATAAACTCGATTCTCTCGGCGTCTAGATCGTCACTGTCTCCGTACATTGAAGTATGGACCGTGGTCGAGACAAGATGAAAACCAAGCAGGATGAACAGATCAAAGTTCAGAGATTCTGCTAAAGCGCCGACGCCCCCGTTCACCATTTCGTCGATTATCCTATATCAGTCATTGCTCCCAACGCCCACCCACCGCTGTCTCGTCCTTTATATTTCCTGCTTCATCTCTCCTTCTCCACCACCTAGAAGCAACGAATCATCCCAGCGGCCATCCACCTCGAAAAACGGCCCGCACGTAAAGCTCTGGTCCCAGTCCATCGAGGCATATCCCAGCCCGAGGTCAGCCCAGTCGCCGCACAACTCAGCCGGCGCCTCGCCGGTGGTGGTGGTGTCGAGCTGAAAGTCGGCCAAGAAGTCGTTTGTGCTGAACTCGACCGTGTTGAAGAAGTCGGACGCGGCCGCGGGCGGCTTCTGCGGCGGCACAAACGCCGCCTTGTTGACCCGGATCCGGCCAAAATACGGCACCACGACGTCGTAGTCGTCGTCGGCCAGGTAGACGCCGCGCCGCGCCGCGTCCAGCACGTCCAGCGTGCGCACCGCCTGCTCCGCGACCCTGCAGTCCATCACCGCCGCCGTCTGGCGCAGACACAGCGCCACGTCGCGCACCGCCGCCGCATCGGCGTCCCCCGGCGGCGCCGCTCCCGACGAGATCCAGTGCCCCAGCACCAGCACCAGCGCCGCGCTCGCTGCCCGAAAGTCCATCACCTGGCACATCTCGGCGCCGCCGCGCGCCCAGTGCCGGAACTCGCAGTACGCCGCGCACACGCCGCGCGCCGCGTCCATGGCCGCGTCCCGGCTCGGCGCGTACTGCGCCGCCGCCGCCGCCTCCTCCCCGGCCGCCGCCGCCCGCAGCAGGTACGGCAGGTGCGCCACCTGCCGCGCCGTCAAAAACAGCACCTTGCACGACTGCCGGAACCACCCCGCCGCCTGGTCGAGGTCCGGCCCGAGATGCCCCGCCGCCCACCAGTGCGCGGGGAAGAGCCGCCGCTGCGCCTCGTCCAGCTCGGCGCCGAGCTGCA